AAATAATTTACACAAAGTAATCTAAAAGCTATAAAGTGATGTTAAATGCCCAACAGAGTAAACCATTCACGCCCCTCTGTGTAGGTGTTGGCTAATGACCCAATTATTTACTCAAAATGCAAATTAAGGGTAATATGGATGGGTGACTTTTATTTGGTACTAAAGCATGCTCTCTTGGCTCCTAATTGCAAAAAAAAGATTAAATGAAAGGTTAATTAGGTACTAAACAAGTCCTTATGACAAACAGGATCAAAGTTCTCAGAGAACAGCACTCTTTATAAACACAGCCTAAATCACTAACATGAAGGTCCTTGTGATTTATTTCAGGGAAAAGAGCTTAACTAACCATGTAATAAGGAATTTTATCAAGGGGATTCGTGGAAACACTTTACCAATCAGTTTCTTAGAAACTCACTCTACAGGCTTTCAACTTCACTCAGCAGATGTGCTAACAATAATTTATAACTTGAACACCTGATTTTCAACAACTGCAAAATGAATGTGACAATGTTTAACAAACAGCAATCCCCTAGATGGACACAGACAACCCCGCTCACGCGCATGCACGCACACCCACAGACACAGAACAGCAGCTACGTCTGCAAAACACAGAATGACATGGCGAGCTACGGCTTCCTCCACTTCCCGTCAAAAGACACATTCCTCTGAGATGCCCACTCACACCCATTCCAAAATGAAAATAAAGATTTATCCTCGTATTAAAAAGTCAACTCATATCACAAGTTGGAAATCTGGTCTTTTTGCTATGGATTGGATAAATCTGCTCATCTCTTTAGAGCAGACACAGTAAGATGATTAAGTGCTGGGCAGGCCCCAAATGCACCATCAGAAAACCTAAAGAAAAACAATGAATTAAAAGGCTTACTTTCTGTCTAAGGAAAGTCTTCATTTTATCTTTATCCCTAAACGACTTGTAAATGTCCTCCACTTTCGAATGAATATGATTATTTTAAAGTTTTGATATAAAATAAATTGAAACAAAGTCAACTTATTATTTAGTGAAGACAAAAAAATGACTTTCACTGAATTCATTGCCAGGTACCTAGTGGGTCTCAATAAATCTGTTGACCCATCATTTTGAGAAAGGGAAGAAAAGGATATCAAAATTGCCTCCTAAATAGGAGAGAGATTGATGAGTGGGACAAGTTAGGAAGCAAAATGGAGCCAATGTAGGCTCCTGGGATTTCCCTCTAACCTCAGCTGTGCTGTGGGGGTTGAGCTGCAGCCCCAGGCAGCAAGCAGCCCCTGGAGGCCCCTTCCTGCAAGACGCGGTAGGAGGCGGAACTGGAGCTGGATGCAAGGCAACAGGTACCCCCCTCTTCACAAAGCAAAGCATCTAAAGCTCGGAGGAATGCTGTACAACAAACCCGTGAAACCAGAACTGCTTACAAACGTCAAATATTCTACTCCTTTTCATTCCATCTAGGGAAGAAATGTGCTTCACAAGTGTATGTTTATCCTCTAGAATACTCTCAAACGCAAAGAAAAGTCTCCCTTTCTAACTCCCTCAATCAGGATAAAGAGCAGAAAACGTTTAGTGGCATTCCAGATAATTTGTGCCAATTTAGATGATTCATGGATTGCTTTCCCAGACTAAATGGTCTACGGACAGTGCTTTCAAGTCAACCAGGGTGCGGAGAGCAAGACCTAATCACAGCCCTGAGTCACTGTCTGGAGGTCCCCTCAGCCCGGTGGACCAGCCCCCACAAACGCACCGTCTCATTTTGAGGTATAAGAACAAGCCAAGTCGACAGATCCCTTTACATAAAAAATAAACAAGACGATGTCATTCCACAAGAAACAAAAAGATCAGTTCACTGAACCGATTTTTCAAAGAAAAATTTCAATAGGCTTTTTCTGTTAAAAAAGCAACTATAACACTAAAGCTTTTAAAACAAGAAAATGGATATAAAATATATTACAGTATTGGGGCTGGCCCAGTGGCATAGTGGTTAAGTCTGAGTGCTCTGCTTCAGTGGCCCAGGATTCACAGGTTCAGACCTGTGCATGGACCTACCCACTGCTCATCAAACCATGCTGCGGCAGCATCCCATATACAAAATAGAGGGAGAGTGGCACAGATGGTAGCTCAGCAACAATCTTCCTCAAGAAAAAAGGAGAAGATTGGCAATGGATGTTAGCTCAGGGCCAATCTTTCTCACCAAAAAAAAAATATATATATATATATATATACACACACACATATATATGTCAGGATTATCAGATTGATATATGTATCATATATATGAGATACATATATATATATATCACGATTATAGCTTAAATAACCTGCATTTCTTCTGTCTATATTTGGCCTGATGTACAAAATGGCACACCATCTCAACACTGGTCATCTCCCAAAGGGAGAGATTTATTAGCTCTTTTCAAAGGAACTTCATTGATTGGTGCTTCCATTTGGTGGCTATCATCTTCTAACATTGGCAACATTTTAAGATCCTGGGTCCACAATGGAGAAAAAACGCTAAAGATAGTTACAGTTAAATAAAATTAAAAGAAGGATCCATTCTTTTAACAACAAAAAACGCATGCACAAAGCACAAAAACCTAAAATTCGACTTCAACAAAAGATGTAATTGTTTTCCTTCCTGGAACATGGATACAATATATATGAATTAAGCGGGGGGGAATCTTTTGAGTTTACTCTTTTTTCACATGTTAAACATGTAAGCAAGATAATACCTTGAAAAAAAATAGAAATCCTCTTTTGATTGTCATAAATCTTTCTCTGACACTGTATCAGTAATTATGTTCCTAAATTGAATGGATTAATAATTTCGGAATGGCAACGACTATTCAGTTCCGTGCAGGCAACCTTCCAAACAAGAAGACGGGGTAACTGGAATCTTCTGATAGCAAAAGAATGAGTGTTTTGAATGTAGAAGTGAAATAACCTAAGATACATTTCAGACAAGAATGATACAAAATTACCTCCAAGGCTCATGTTGGGGCACAAAGGAGAATAACGATACAGCACTGATTTCCCGGCCTCCCAAGTGACTGAGGGGTCATGCTCCACAGTCTGTTCATAGGGGTGGACGCCCGTTCTGCAACTGCTGCCGCCAGGACAAGGAACAAGCCGACAAACTCACACATTTAGAAAGCTCAGAAGTAAACTTACTTTATAGGGGTGATGGCTAACTGTCAGAGCACAGAAAAATGCATGGATTTGCCTAAGTTTGCCAAAAGCATGCATTCTGGCCACAGGATGAGGAGAGCAACTTAAATGAAAGAAGCTACCCACACACTCTGAAAAGCTCCCTCATGGCACAGTGGGTCTAACATAGCCCTGCACAGGAGTGCCGAAGCGGGCGCAGAAAGTGAACTCAGCAGCAGACCAAGCACCCGGTCCCAGAAGACAAGATCAAAGGCTGTCGGCATGCTGATTAAACTCATCGACCATTTAAAGCCTAACACGTTTCATTACAGATCCCTGGGAGGCCTGGGAACAGATCTTTTGACAAGTGTTTGAGAACAAATTTATTGCCTCTTTCCGAGATCCTGAATTTATTCTAAATTCCTTTGTGATTTTAAACAACAAATACACATAAGTATCTACACTTAGCTGAAGTTGTAGAAGCATACAAAAATCATACTACACATTTGCGGTGAAAGTACCAAAAATGCAGGGTTAGAATAAAGACCAGAACCAGGACAGCGATTCCTCGGGGGCGGACAGAGGGCACTGCTCTCAGGGACGAGGGCCTGGGTTGTGACCGTTCCACAGAACTGGTAAACATGCCTTTCTCTAGCGTGCTGTGGGAGGGTACCTATGGATATTTGTTATATTATTCCTTATATAGTTTTCGTATTTGGAATATTCATATTAACTTCTGAAGAACAAAAGCAAACAAGGAATTACGGGCTTGGGCACATAGCCTATTCTAAGAAAACATGGAGAACAGGCCCACACTGCCAAAACACACCTGCACATGGGGTGTTTCCAGGCCAGGAGTCCAGGGCCCTTTTCAGCGTCCACAGCCCAAGTGGGTTGATTAAAAGGGAAAACCTTCCAGGGGAAAAGAGAATCCGCAAGCAATGTATTTTATTCCCCTGTTTTTGAACATTAAATCGCTACCTGTTAACTCTTAAGACTGAAGAGGCTGCCAGTCAACACCAACACACCCTGCCAGTTTTACGGTATTATTTTGCCTCACTTTGCAATTACTCTCACATTCCCCAGGGAGAAACTAATGGATTACTAAAAATAAAACGGAGATTCAGTGAATCACTTAGGATGTTTTGGCTCCCAACAAAAACTGGCTCAAACAAAAAGGGAATGTATTGGCTCAAAAGCTGGGACTTCTGGAGGAAAGAACAGGCTGCAGCACTGGTTTCTCTGTCCTCTGCCCTGGGTGGCTTCTTGCTCAGGCTGCAGCCACAGCAGACCTTACACCAGCATATAATGACGTCCAGAACAAGAGAAAGAGGCAAACTCTTCCTGTAGCTCTGTTTTAAATACACAAGGACTTCTGCCAGAAGTTCCTGGCTAAAACAGGATTACTGGCCTGTTCCTGAAACCATCCCTCTGGCCAGGTAACACCCAACACTGGCTGATGGCTTGTCCATGATGAGTCAATCACGGACAAAGTAGGGATGGGACTGCCCCTAATCAGGGCCCATCTGGAGGCTGCAGTCAGTTCTTCAACTCGGTAACATTGGGGATGGAGGGGATGCACGACACAGATCGAACCCTAATGTCCACTCTTCTGGTCTTTACAGGGAACAGACTGAGCAATACTATGTTTATCAGAAGATGAAATTAATCACTATCATGGTATATTTGTATATAAAGCTATAGACTCAAAAAGCAGATGACCAAACGAATTGATGCCTTGGAAAAAAGTAGATTTTAAAACTCTTTGTTTCTCTATTCCCACTGCTCCAATGAGAAATTTAAAGACAGAAAGTCAACGTATTTTAAAGTAAGCAGGTCATAAGAAGCATGGTATAGTACTTACTATATTCTCGTGCCATTGCTATAGAAATTTAGCCAATAGCATCCACAGGAACAATGTACAACCTGAAAAAAATAGTTAAAAATAAAACACAGTTAAAAAATAGAAACAATGGCTACGTTCAAAAGAAATTTCACTAAAATAGTTACATAACAAAAGTTTTCCCCTTTTTTCTGGAAGAGACAAACCAGCCTTTTTAAAGTAAGCAGCTGTATTTAAATTAGAAATTAGAGAAAACATCTGTAGTATTAGAGTATCTCGATATTTTCAAGTTCAAATCATCTCCATCTATTGTAGATCTGACCACCACAAAAACAAAACCAACAACAAAATACATGTTAATCAAGTAATAATGCCCTGGACCGCTATTTACAAAACTGAAACAAAAACAGAATTATTCAGGGGACCTCAAAAGTCATGTAACCTATCATCTACAATACACATCTACCTCACTCCACTCAACGCATCTTAAGTTAGATAAAACAGCTTCCATTTCTAAATTTCTCAACTCGGGGAGCTAAAGAAATAGTTCTCAGAAAAAATACACATATCGGATTCAAATATTTGACACTGCATCTTAATAAACTGAATATTCAGCATACCATGAATGCTAAAGAAACACGCCCACAGAACTGGTGACTCTAAGACCCCGGAATGGCTTTTAATACTCAAAAGTGAAAGATAAGAACTCTGTCTCTATTCAGACCCTACAACAAATAGCAAGATAGCAAATCACACTTTTAATTAAGAAGGACTTAAAAACACGAAAATCTATCGATGCTGTGGTATTCCTGGGGATGGTGTGCCTTGACAAGGCTAAGGATAGCTATTGTCCAAGTATCTACAAACACCATGTCTAATTTCATTTTCCACAGTGTATATGAGATTTACCCCTGTTGGCATTAGTTACGGTTTGCAGGGGAGGAAAAAACATTTCCTCTACCCTCTCAGGTTCATGAAATGAGGGCCTGCAAATTAAACTGACAAAGACAAATTAATAGGAGAAAAGCCATGTTTCTTTATTGATTGAAGATTTTTACATACATGGGGATGTCACAGAAAAGAATTGAAAGTCCAAAAAGGCAGCTAGACCCAGAGGCTTATATATCATTTCAACAAAGGGCAATAAATTGTGGAGAAGTGACTAGACAAAGGAAAAGGGAGTTTAGGCTCCTAAGGGCAATAAACTATAGAAAGATGACCAAGAAATGTATTGCAGATAAGGATTATTTAGTAAGATTTGTTATGAAGACTCAAGTTTCTCCAGTGGTAAGAATCGCTCTCCTCTTTCTAGTATGGGAGATGGGGCGCACCTTCACAAATGGAAATTTATGCCCTGCTTACAGGCAGAAAGCGGGAGGGCAGAGAGCTCTTCCTGCATCTGCAATGTCTCAATTTTCTTCAGCTCAAAATAATCCTTATGCCAAAGTGGCATATTTTGCAGTGGCATATCCTGATCCCTTTTGTTTCATAAAAACAAAAACACTATTAAAATAATAAAGGTGCAAGTCTCCCAATGGAAGAATATACTTGCAATATACATATATCTACCAAAGGACTCATTCAGAACATATGAAGAACTCCAACAAAACAATAAGAAAAAAAACAGGCCACCGAAACAGGATATCCAAATGGTCAATCAAGTATATGAAAAGGTGCTCAACCCCATTTATTATCATGGAAATACAAATTAAAACCACAATGAGATAAAATTACACACTGATCAAAATGGTAAAAACTGAAAAATCTGACAACACCAAGTCTTAGATGTGGAGCAATTCAGCTCTCATAGACTGCTGGTGGGAGAATGAACTGAAAAACTGTTCACTAACATCTAATAAAGCAGAAGATAAACGTATGCTTTGGCCTAGCAATTCCACTCCTGGGGAAACGTCTACCAGGAACGCACACACTTAGGCCCCAAAAGACACATGCAATAATATTCAAAGAAGCACTAAGTGTACAGCCAAAACTTAGTACGAAATAAACTGTGAAATATTCATACAGTGGAATACTATACAGCAGGGGTCACTCAGCTTTTTCTGCAAAGGGCCAGATAGTAAATAATTTTGGCTTTGCAAGCCATATGGTCTCTGTGCCCTGTCGCAACTACTCAATTCTGCCTTTGGAATGCGAGAGCAGCCACAGACGATATGTAAATGCATGGGTGTGGCTGTGTTCCAATAAAAATTTATTTACGAAAACAGGCAGCCAGCCCACAGGCTCTAGTTTGCCTGCTATACAGTAATGAATATAAATGAAGCATAACTAATGCAACAACACAAACGAATCTCACAAATAGAATGTTGAGACAGAGAAGCCAGACATGTGAAAGAATACATTACCGTATGACTCCATTTTATAAAGTTCAAAAATAGCTAAAACTATTAAGTCAAGACAGTAGTTACTGTTGACTGTGGGGGGATAGAAGAGACCAGGAGTGGGTTAAAGGGGGAGGTTAGTAATAGTGGATTCCTTGATTTGGGTGGTGGTTTCATGATTATGTTCAATTTGGGAAAATTCATCAAAGTGTTCCCTTATGATTCACTTTGTCTTCATACGTGTTACACTTGAATAAAAAAGTAAAATACTGGGGCCAGCCCGGTGGCACAGTGGTTACGTTCGCATGTTCTGCTTTGGTGGCCCGGTTCAGATCCTGGGTGTGGACATGGCACCACTTGGCATGCCATGCTGTGGTAGGTGTCCCACATATAAAGTAGAGGAAGATGGGCACAGATGTTAGCTCAGGGCCAATCTTCCTCAGCAAAAAGAGGAGGATTGGCAGCAGTTAGCTCAGGGCCGATCTTCCTCAAAAAAAAAAAACCAAAGTAAAATACTGTCATTTTTCTATAAATAAAGACTCCAGGCCAACAACAAAAGCATGTGCTTTCTTATAGCTCACTCTCCCTGGACACCAAACACCCTGTCACAGCAGCAAGCCTTGTGTCCTCACAAAACACGGTCCCCTTAGTCAGTGTGATGTCTGCAGTGCAACCAAACCTCTGTTCTGAGTTCCAGGTAGGCTTTGGGAAATGAGCTGTGATTAGACAGAATGCACAGGAGTGGGAGGAGGAGAAAGCAAGACAAAGGGAGAGAGGAAAGTAACAGATGGTGGATGAAGAGGCCCCCACATTTCTACATAATCTGCTGAATAATCTATACAGAAGAGAAAGTAACGTAAGCAGCTTAGAAACACAATCTGGAAGGTCACTGAACTTGCCTTTCAGACAAAAATAATGACATTTTAAAAGCTGACTAAGGATCTTAAAAGATTCTTGGAGGGATTTGTTTCCACTACAATTTTTTCCAATCTAACAGATTAAGTGAGCAGCAGTTTTAGCTTTTGCATCGAGGAAGTATACCTGACAGATAAAACGGTCTTGACTTTCTAGGCCAGCATATTTTAAGCAATTTCTGTACCTTGATTTCATCTTATCCCTCTGCACCGTGTCTAAAATTTAATTAGATACTGTAACTTCCCAGGGATCACAGGAAGCCGTTAAATTACCAGAGTTGTGCTCAAATATATTAGGAGAGACAGACAATATGAAAATGCCAAGGACAACAAAACCATGGGCATCACATTATAAGGATTCACATTCTATTAGTATGGAATTATATCATGAGCGAAATAAAGACTGAAGGAGTAAAGAAAAAATAGTGAGATCCATTCACTATACTGCATTTACCGCATAATTGATATGTGCAAGAAATTGAACTAGATGCTGGAAATGCAAAGATAAAGTTCCTGTCTTTAAGGAGCTCACAGTTATAAAGAAGCTGACAAGTCTATGCATCAATAATTTAAATATCATAAAACATACACAACAGTCACAAGTGCTATGGAGCTATAAATTAACAAGAGAGAATTATTAAATGTACGAGGAGTGAAACACAAGTAAGGGAAGAGGAGGAGATGGAAATGAAGTCTTCACATAATAGTGAAGAGTTAAAATGGGTTTTGAAAGATTAAAGATGGGCAAGGTAAGAGGAGGGAATAGAGCATCATTCTAGGCAGAGGGAGAGAATGTGCAAAGGCACAGAGGCATGAATAACCAGTCATGTCTGAGGAATAAGAAGAAATCTGAAGCAGCCAGAACATGGTGTACAAGGACAAGCTAAAACTGAGATGATGGAGGTACTTATCAATTACCCTAAGTTCGAATTTTATCCTACAGGCACCATGAAGCCATTGGGGTGGGAACTGGGGTAACAAGAATGGAATACAAGGAATAGAGGGGGAGTGACAGGTCTCCAAATTTATCGTTGTTTGCAGTTTTGACATTTAGAACCATGGTAATGTTTACGTTTCACAAAATAAAAAAAGTAAATAATTAAAATCAACCAGTATGTGGGGGTAACTCAAAATGAAACACAATCAGTAACCAATGTGCTGCATTACAAATGTACATCACAACCACACTTAAGGGAGTGCAGAGGAAAAGGCCTAACCTAACCACTTTAGAAACCAGTGTCTTGACTAGATACTTTGAGGCTAGAGACACAACAAATAAACAAAGAGGAACAAAGGCCAGAACGAATGCTATCATGTTGAACTCAGCTCAGAGATATTATGGTTTTTAATACATATTTCAATAGATGATAGATAGATATGGATGTAGATACGTGTATATGTATATGGATTTCCTGGCTCTGTCCTTTGAAAGAGCCTGGGGCAATGATATCCCAGTAACAATGAGCACATCTAGCACCCAGAGATTGGTTCCTAAACACCATCCTCTAATCAAAAGAACCAAAACTACTTAGAAAAGATGTCTGGCTGCAAAGCGGGAGTAGGGAAAGTACCAGATGAACCTGGAACGTCTTGGGGTGTGAGAAAGTAAGCGAGTGCTCAAAAAACCATGGAGGCTTTATCAAAAGGACACTGGACCCAACCTGAAGGAGACAAATGTGGGATTCGAGCAATAAAGCAAAAAATTATATTAACATTATAAACCATAGGATAAAACAAATATCCATGAGTCCATACCGATAAAAATAAATACCCGAGTACTTAAATAAGTGCAAAAGAAGGTCAAGCTCCTTTTTACATGAGAATTCCAAT